TACTAAGAATTATATTAGAGGTATTTTAATAAAGAGAGTCGGGGTGTTGACACAGGGGCAGTAAACTAGATCTTTGGAACATAATAGAAAGCCCTGAACATGTGTAAAGCAGAGGTAAACTTACAGATCAGCGGGTCAAGGAGAACTAGTGATTAATTTGAGAACAATTGGATATCTATATGGAAAATGCAATTGTACTCATCTCTTGTGAAAGATTCTTTAAAATAATATAGTAGAACAACTTCATTACTTTAGTGTAGGGAAAGATTTTTATATAGGTTACAACAAAGTATTAACCCCAGGGTAACCTTTGACAGAACTAGACATTAAAGTAGAGCTGGATTATCTTGGGATGATGAAAGTGTTCTAAAATTAAATTTGTTGATTTAAAACTCTGAATATGTGAAAAATCATTGAATTGTATACTTTAGATGGATGAGTAGTATGCAATTTGTATCTCAATAAAGTTTAATGAAGAAAATATAATGAGATATTTTGACAAATCCACTAGAATTTCTAAATAAAAATCTTTGACTATTCCAAATATTAATGAGAATACGGCCCATCAAGAGCTGCCACACTGCTTGCCACAGCCACTTTGTCTAGCAGTGTGGCATCTTCTCTTTGAGTGGGATACACACACACACACAGACACCCACACACACACACACATCAGGAATTGCACTCCTAGGTGTACAGTTTTGAGAGATATGTGCTCGTTGTGCCAACATACATTTGCAAGAATGCTTATAACAACATTGTTTATAATTTTAAAAATGTGGACACAAATGAAATGATCATCAATGAGATAAGGGTGAATTTAATGTACGGTTTATTTATTCAATGAAATGTTACAAACAGTAATCACGAACACTCTACAGACACTGATAACAACTTAGCAAACATACATTTGATCTACAATAAGGTCTTGTAAGAATACAGACAGCATGATGTCATTTGTATGAAAAACAAAATTTAAAGTTTGAGAAAACCTGTGTTGTTTTAGAGATGTATGCATCGGGGTAAAGCTTTAAAGAAAGCTGTTACTATATCGATAGTTTCTTTTACTGTGCAGAAACTCTTTAGTTTAATTAGATTCCTTTGTCAATTTTAGGTTGTTAACTTGAAATGTTTTTAACTTTTCGATGGGGGCATTTAATGCTATAAATTTCCCTCTCAACAGGGTCTTAGCTGTTTCCCAAAGATTCTTGTACATTGTATCTTAGTTCTCATTATCTTCAAAGAACTTCCTGATTTTTGCCTTAATTTCATCATTTCCCCAAAAGTCATTCAAGAACAGGTCATTCAATTTCTATGTAATTGTATGGTTTGAGTGAATTTCTTAGTCTTGATTTCGAATTTGATTGCACTGTGGTGCAAGAGACTGTTTGTTCTAATTTCAATTCTTTTGCATTTGTGGGGAACCATTTCGTTTCCAATTGTGTGATCCATTTTAGAGTAAATGCCATGTGTCAATGAGAAAAATGTATATTCTGTTGTTTTAGGGTAAAGAGTTCTGTAGGTATTTCTCAGGTCTATTTGAGCCAGGGTTGAGTTAAGGTCCTGAATATCTTTGATAATTTTCTGACTTGATGATCTGTCTAATATTGTCAGTGGAATATTAAAATCTTTCACTATTATTGTTTGAGATTCTAAGACTCTTTAAAGGCCTCTAGGAACCTGCCTTGTGAATCTGGGTGTTCCTGTATTGGATGCATATATTCCACAAGGAGTTAGAGCTCCTTGTGGAATTGAACCCTTTACCATTATGTAATACCCTTCTTTATCTTTTTAAATCTTTGTTGGTTTAACTCCTGTTATGTCAGAAACTAGGATTGCAGCCTTGGCTTTTTTTTCTGCTTTCCATTCGCTTGGTAAATTTTCCTCCATCTTTTTATTTTGAGCATATGTGTGTCATTGCCTGTGAGATGGACGTATTAAAGAGAGCATACTGATAGGTCTTGGTTCTTTATCCAGCTTGCCACTCTATGTTTCTTAAAATGGAGCACTTAGACCATTTACATTTAAGGTTAGCATTGATATGTATGGATTTGATCCTGTCATCATGATGTTAGAAGGTTACTTTGCAGACTTGCTTATGTGGTTGCTTTATTGTGTCACTAGTCTACGTACTGAAGTGTGTTTTTGTAGTGTCTGGTAACTGTCTTTCCATATTTATTACTTCCTTCAGGAGTTCTTGTAATGCAGGTCTGGTAGTAATAAACTACCTCGGCATTTGTCTGAAACGAATCTTATTTCTCCTTTGCTTATGAAGCTTAGTTTTGTTGGATATCAAATTCTGGCTTGGAAATTCTTTTCTTTATGACTGTTGAATATTGGCCCTCAATCTCTTCTAGGTTGTAGGATTTCCACTGAGAGATCAACTGTTAGTCTGATGGACTTCCCTTTGTAGATGATCTAGCCTTTCTCTCTGGCTGCCCTTGACATTTTTTCTTTCATTTCAACCTTGGAGAATCTGATGATTATGTGTCTTTGGGATGATATTCTCATGGAGTAACTTACTGGGGTCCTCTGCATTTCTGAATTTGAATGTTGGCCCGTCTAGCTAGCTTGGAGAAGTTCTCATGGATGACGTCCTGAAACATTTTCTAAATTGTTTTTGTTCTACCCACCTCTTTCTGGTATGCCAATCATTCCTAGATTTGGTTTCTTTACGTAATTCCACGTTTTTCAGAGGTTTTGGTCATGCCTGTTCATTCTTGTTTTTTCTATTCTTGCTTTCCTGTCTTATTTCAGAAAGCCAGTCTTCAGGCACTGAGATTTTCTTCCTCCACTTGCTTTATTCTGCTCTTAATACTTGTGAGTGCACTATGAAATTCTTATAGTGTGTTTTTCAGCTCTATCAGATTGGTTACATTCTTCTTTTTACTGGCTATTTTGTCTGTGAGCTCTTGCAATGTTTTATCATGATTTTTAGCTTCCTTGCTTTGGATTAAGTGGACTTTTTTTTAGCACAATTAACTTCGTTTGTATCCATATTCTGTTGTTTCAGCCATCTCAGCCTTAGCCCGGTTCCATACCCTTGCTGTGATTTTGAGTTTTCAGCATGTGTTTCTGATTCCTTCTCATTTTTGCAGGTTTTCTACCTTCGGTCTTTGAGGTTGCTAACCTTTGAGTGTATTTTGTTTTTCTCTTCTTTCGTTTTATCTTTTAACAGTTTGGCCACTTTTCTGTAGGGCTGCTGCAGTTCTCTGAGGGGATGATCCAGTCCCTAGTTGCCTCAGATTTTCCAGTACCTGGAGGTATTACCAGTGAAGGTTATGTAACAGCAAAAATGGCAGTCTTCTTCTTCTGGGAGGTCAGTTCCAGCTGTTGCCGGCCTGAACACACCTGTAGGAAGTGCTGGAGACCCTGGCTGGGAGGTCTTGCCCAGTCAGGAGGAACAGTATCAGGATCTAGAGGTTTACCAAAAGAAGGAATACTCCCTCAGGAGATATAGAAATAATACCATTCACCTTGAAGCTAAGACAGACACCTGGCCCATTCAGCTCCTCATACTTCTAAACCAATAGACAAAGGAAGGAATTACTGCACTGTCTGGGGTGATTGGTCCTGGTCATCAGGGGGAAATTGGTCTGCTACTACATAATGGCAGTAAATAAGACTATGTCTGGAACACAGAAGATCTTTTAGAGCATCTCTTAGTAATCAGCCCTATAATTAAAGTCGATAAAAACTACAACAACCCAAGTCCAGTCAGACTACTAATGGCCCATATTCTTCAGGAATAAAGGTTTGAGTCACCCAAGCAGGAAAAGAAAGCTGATCAGCTGAGGGACTTGCTGAAGACAATGGGAATATAAGATGGTCAGTAAAAGAAAAAAAAAGTATTTATAAATACTAGTCATGGCCAGCATGGTGGCTCATGCCTGTAATCCCAGCACTTTAGGGGGCTGAGGCGGGCGGATTGCTCATGTCTGGGAATGTGAGACCAACCTGGGCAACATGCTGAAACTCCATATTTACTGAAAATAAATACAAGAAATTAGTCAGGCTTGGGGGTGTGCTTGTAGTCCCAGCTACTTAGGAGGTTGAGGTAGGAGGATCATTTGTGCACAGGAGGTAGAGGTTGGAGTGAGCCGAGGTAATGCCACTGCACTCCAGCCTAGCCAATACAACAAGACCCTATCTCAAATAAATAAGTAAACAAACAAATAAATAAATAACCAGCTGTAACAATGTGACCATCTACAGAAATAACGACAGTAAGGGTTATGAGTATTACTTCCTTATGTTTTTATAATGATATTTATGTCTGTGTGTATGTATCCATACATGTATTTAGCAAATGCTTTTCTTTTTATCTTTTCCTTATCATCATGTAATAAAACATAAGATGTGCTAACAATAGTTCCCTTTTATTAATGATGGTTTAATTTTTATGAAACGTGGTATTTAGGTTACAGTATGTCAAAAAGAAGAGTGTATATCATGCATCCAGTTTGAATCTTTTTCTGAGGAAAGGGTTAGTGTGTTTTTAATTGGATGCAAGATAGCTGTACCATGTTTTGCAAAAGTATGACTTTATAGTTGTTCTCAATTGGAGACTAAGTATGGTTTAAGAAATTGTTAATGGCTGCCAAGTTCACAAACAAGGATGGAATGGTTGTTCTTTTTTTTTTTGACAGAGTTTCACTGTTGTTACCCAGACTGGAGTGCAATGGCACGATCTCGGCTCACCGCAACCTCCACCTCCTGGGTTCAAGCAATTCTCCTGCCTCAGCCTCCCAAGTAGCAGGGACTACAGTCACGCACCACCATGCCCAGCTAATTTTTGTATTTTTAGTAGAGATTGGGTTTCACCTTGTTGACCAGGATGGTCTCAATCTGTTGACCAGGATGGTCTTGATCTCTTGACCTCATGATCCACCCACCTCAGCCTCCCAAAGTGCTGGGATTATAGGCATGAGCCACCGTGCCCGGCTTAAAATGGTTGTTCTTATGTGTCAGTTTCACTAAACCATAGCACCTGGTTATTTAGTCTAACACTAAATTTAGATGTTGCTATGATAGTATTTTGCAGTTGTGGTTAAAATCTGATATCAGGTGATTTTATGAAAAGGAAATTACCCTTAAAAATGTGGGTATGACTTTTTCAATCAGGTGAAGGACTTTGGGTAAAATGTGAGGCTTCTCAGAGAAGAAAAAATTCTTCCTCAAGATGACAGTAGCAACTACAGTTTAGGTTTCCAGTCTTCCAGCCTGGTCTTCCATTTGAGACTGACTTTCCAGCCTGCTAGCCTGCCAAGGTGTAATTTGTGATATTAATAACATAAAATGAGAGGTGGAAAAAAATGTAAAGAAGCAGAGTTTTCATATTGGTTTCAATTCAAGATTGTTATAAGTGTATTGTTATATGCAATACCACAGAAATCACAAATAAAATACAGATAAAATATACACAAAAGAAAACAAAAAGGCAATTACAACATGTCACTAGAAAAAACTTGACTAAACACAGGAAGGTTGGAATGAAGGAGATGAGGGCAAAACAACTATAAGACATGCATAAAACCAACATCACAATTACTGAAGTTCTTACTATGACTAATTATCTTAAATGTAAATGGGTTAAAATCCTCAATCAGAATTCAGAGATTATCACAATGGCTAGAATAAAAATAATCAAATCATATCCTAGCTACAAGATATTCACTTTGGATCTAGGGACACATAGAAGTTGAAATTGGAAGGACAGAAAAGGATATTCATGAAAATAGTAACTAAGAATTTTTTATGATCTCTCACAGGGTTCTATGTGTTGGGTGGGTTCAGATGATGTCCTGGGAGTTTTACACGGTTCAGGGATTGAAGTGGAAGGAAACACATGCAGGCAGGATGGTTAATAACAGTGCTCAGAACTAACACAACCATCCTTTGCCATATTTCATTGGCTAACACAGATATCAGATCTACTTATGTTTAAGAGGGTGGAGAGAACTTACCTCTTGATGAGGGAAAGGTGGGTCAGATTAAAGAAAACCGAGTATGATGGCAGATATTTTTGCAGTCCTTTTTGGAAAATTCATGCAATCCAGAACATCCTATCTGCCAGAAAGCAAGAACACAATCATGCATTACCACTCAATTCTGAGTCCTGTGATTCTATATGTTGGAAACAATTGCTTGAAATCACAAAGAAAATGAACACTTAAATGAAGAATTTCTCAGGAGGCAATTCACTTCTGCAGAAGGGTGCAACTCACACTCTTGGCCACTGAGAGAGCACACTGAACAAAGGAGAGAAAGAGTTTTTATCCTAATGCAGTCCCTACTTCTGTGTCCTTCTCCCATTGGCTAGGGTTGGACCATGCAATCTAAGTTGACCCCAATTGGCTATTGTGTAGCAATTTCCAAATAAGGGAGGTGGGGATCGGTTACAAACATGATGGGGAGAGATATATCCAAGCACCTCCAGGCATATCCAGGCATGTCAGGCACAGCAAAGGTGGGAAAGATTACTTGCAGAGTCAGGAACAAGGAAGTAAGTAGAGAGGCATATTTTTTCTACACATAGGGACTGGCAGGAAGAGTTGTTGACCAAGCAGGTGACTAAGGTAACTATGGGACAAAGAGGTACAAGGACAAGGAAGTTGCTTTGGAGAACAAAGAACATCTCCTTCCCTCATGTCCTTCCAAAGAACAAAGAAGTAAAACCTTTGAAGAGAAACTATTTGTTTCTGTCATATAGTGTCCTGAGAAAGGACCATGTCTTAGGAAGTAGCTGTGGAGTAGAAGCTCTAAACAAAGCTCCACCTAGAGCCAAAATTTCACTTTATTTTGATGAAATGTTGTGTCATTTTTGGTAAAATGGGAGCCCACAAACCTCTCTTCAGGGATCTCTCCAGTGGTGGGGATAATATGCTTCCCTCCTTCACAGTTGTACTTTACAGATAAGTGGATCAAGGTCTCAGTTTCAATTACTTAAAACACCAGTTAACATGGATGTATGCATTCCAAGAAAGGTAAAAGAATGCTCTCTGTCACTGTCGCTTCTCTCACTCACTGCACCCTGAACAAGAACCTGCTCTATCTTCACCTTTTGAATGGGGAGGAGGATCGCACTCCTGCCTAAACCTTCAAGCTTCCAGAGCTAAACCTGCTGCCCAAACAGCATGGTTTATTGTAAAGACTAAACCCTATACCAAGAGCTCCCCACTGACCCACCATGGCAGGGACTGAATCCCATGGGAAGACCCAGAGAAATCCTGGCTCAAAAGGTCCATTGTCATGTCCCTTCCACCAAAATGAAGCCAACATATTCATCACAATATATGGTATTGATAAGGATATGAAAGTAATTATTGGCCAGGCATGGTGGCTCACGCCTGTAATCCCAGCACTTTGGGAGGCCGAGGCAGGTGAATCATGAGGTCAAGAGATCAAGACCATCCTGGTCAACATGGTGAAATCCCATCTCTACTAAAAATACAAAAGAATTAGCTTGGCATGAGGCGCGTGCCTGTAATCCTAGCTACTCAGGAGGCTGAGGCAGGAGAATTGCCTGAACCCAGGAGGCGGAGGTTGCAGTGAGCCGAGATCACACCATGGCACTCCAGCCTGGGTAACAAGAGTGAAACTCCATCTAAAAAAAAAAAAGTAATTATTATAAAACTTTGACAAATATGTTCTTTTTATTACATCAACTTTTTTGTCCTCCAAATACAAAGAAAGTAAGCCTGCACAGCAGGAAAAGTTTTTCCCCTGGGAGGGAGTCCTATTCCCAGTTAAAAAGCTGGAACTGGAGTCACTAGAATGGAGCAACACTTTCATGTAGGACACAGCACTGGGTCTTGGGGCAGCCAGAGTTAGGGAGGGCTCACATTCTGGGTGACACCAACCTTTGGTTCCTCTTTTTTTTTTTTATTTTTGTTCTCATTGCAAGAACAAAATTACAGAGTATAAAGAGACAGAGTCAAGCCATGGAAATTTGCTCCATTTTATTTTTTAGAAATGCAATCTCAAGGGAGGGAAACAAGACTGTTATGGGCTAAATTGTATTCCCCCAAGTTGACATGTTGATGTTCTAACCTCCAGTACCTGAGAAAGTGACTGCATTTGGAGAGGTCTTTAAGGTAAAATGAGGTCATATGACTGTGCCCTAATTCAACTCGACCAGTGTCCTTATAAAAAGAGAAGATTAGGACACAGATACAGAGGAATGACCATGTGAAGACATAGGGAGAAAATATTTACAAGCCAAAAAAAGAAGATGCAGGAAAAATGTGCACTGCCAATCCCATCATCTTGCACTTCCAGCCTCCAGAACTGTGACACAATTAATTTCTGTTTTCTTTGGTTTTGTTTTGAGACAGAGCCTCACTCTGTTGACCAGGTTGGAGTGCAGTGGCACAATCTTGGCTCACCCCAACCTGTGCCTCCCAGGTTCAAGTGATTCTCCTGCCTCAGCCTCCTGAGCAGCAGGGACTACAGGCATGCACAACCATGCTAAGCGAATTTTTGTATTTTTAGTAGAGATGGGGTTATACCATGTTGGCCAGGATGGTCTCGATCTCTTGACTTCGTGATCCACCCTCGTTGGCCTCCCAAAGTGCTGGGATTACAGGTATGAACCACACCTGAGAATTTCTGTTGTTTAAGTCACTCATTGTACGGTACTTTGCTATGGCCGCCCTAACAAATTAAAACACACGTACTACCGTGCCTAGTATCTGGACATGGAATTTTTTCAAGATTATGAATTATCTGTGTTTCCTAAAACTTGAGTAAATCAACTGAAAATTGACAAGCATAGATGATAAAGGGTCATTTCCAAGCCACTTTGCGTCCCATGGTCACCACTCAAAAGTGGAGATGTCCCCAGTTCTTTTCACTTTTACTTAGAATAAAGGTTGTGGTTCCAAACTGATATATAATCACAAGCTGCATTTAAGGTCTTGAGATGCTGAGAAATAATTGTTTTGTAATCAGTACTAAAGTAAAAAGGGATTTCTACCTAGAGCTTTGCAAGTCTAATGTTTTCTTCCTGCTTTTAAGGGTCATGTTTCTTAAAATCCTATGAGCTAATGACATCACTTTCATATTTCTCTCTGTATTTACCCCTTGGTACTGGACCCTCACTGCATCTCAGTAAGGATGAGCTGTGTTCGCATGTATTCTCTCTTGAATAGATGTGTTTATCTATGACTCACAGTTGAATTAAAAAGCACCAGGATTTGGAGACATTCTCCTGAGGTCATAGCCATTGAGTCACAAGCACATAGAACCCTTGGTCTTGTTCAGTGCTCTAGTAGGTGTCACAGGAACTGCAGAATTGCATCCCTTCATTTTTACATATTTGATTATTTTCTCCCTTTCTTTCTTTCTCTTTCTCCCTTTCTTTTTCTCTCTCTTTCTCTCTCTCTCTCTCTCTCTCTCTCTCTCTCTCTCTCTCTCTCTCTCTCTCTCTCTCTCTCTCTTTCGAGGCAGGGTCTCACATTATCACACAGGCTGCACAATTTCAGCAGACTACAACCTTCACTTTCCAGGTTCAAGTGATCCTTGTGGCTCAGCCTCCTGACTAGCTGGCATTACAGGTGCATGCCACCATACCTGGCTAATTTTCGTACTTTTAGTAGAGATGAGGTTACCATGTTGGCCAGGCTGGTCTCAAACTCCTGAACTCAGGTGATCCTCCCACCTCAGCCTCCTGAAGTGCTGGGATTACAGGTGTAAGCCACCACACCCAGCCATTTGGTTATTTTCCTAACCAGAGAAGGAAAATGCATGGTGAAATTAAAGTGCAAGAGCCCTAAGCCCTTGCCTTAGGTTTACTGGGCTGGGGGATGGAGAGAGAGAGACTGCCACTGATTCTCTGAATTTCAGCTCCCACTGTTGGTCACTCAACTGAGAGCAGAAAAGTTTACCTTCTGCACTTGGGATGTCAGGACAAAGATGATAGGGAGTCCCACATATACCGTGAAATAGAAAAAAGTCCCTCATGCCTAATGAATCAAATTTCAGTTTTCTAATTGCATGTGATTTCCTGCACACCTAACGATTTCTCTTTCCTTCAATCTTCAGTTGTCATCGGGCAAACAGCAACAGCAGAGGAATTGCTACTGAGTCTGACACTCTGATGGAAGCTCTGAGTGGCGACTTTATTTCACATTTAGGTGCCTCTGAGTCAATGCAGAGTTTTGCCTGACTCCACTCTAACTTTAATTTGATCAGGGTCCATATGCTTTGGGACCTCTCCAGCTCCTCATCAGACATGACAAAGAAGGCCATGTCCAGCTCCGGAGGTCCCCGATGGAGTGAGAGGCAGCTCCTAGTGGAGGAGAGCTCTGGAGTGACCAAGGCATCATAGACTTCATTACTGTTGGGCCACTTGTCTTCAGTCCCATGACCACAATGGATCCATGGGCCTGGATTCACCTCTGATATTTGTGTCTTTTTTTCTTAGGCTTCCACAAGTGGTCTCTGGTTGAGATGGAGGGAAAGGACACAGGGATTTAAAATCTCTGACTACCCAGTGACCACCCCTCACTTCCACCCAGAGGCAACACGACCATTTCACTAAATTCCTGAGGATGTGGCCAACATAAGTAACAGAGCACGGGGAGGTGCCTTGAATAGAGTTTCATGGAAGGGGAGTAGGTGCCCTCTAGACTCTTTGTCTACAACTGCTGAGCTTTCTTTAGCATGAAATGTCACAGAGACAGCCACATTCTAAGCTTGGACCCTTGAATCAATGTGTGTGAGGGTCTTAGCCCTGGCCAAATGAGCACTGAATTTGAGAGAGACCAATAAACCTTCTAAATATTGGAACTCTTTACTCCTTAATGCCGAATCCTGAGTTTTGAATCCTGGAAGTTGGCTTCTAGCCAGGGAGGCAGGTGTCATTATATCTGATCTGCCTCTCTGAGGTCTCTTGTCCCTCTGCCCTTCCCATCTCTCTACCCCCATTAATCCCAGAACAGATAGAATCATTCTGCCTTCTTTGATGCCTCTTGCTATAAACTTCAAAGGTATTTGATTGAATTAATAAATGAAAGCAACTTTAATTAAAGATGAGGCTTAAGGAATGGCATTTGACATGGGTTTAGAATGAATAAGTGGACGTAGTAATGAATTTTGAGAAAATGCATGTAAAATTTATCTTTAATTCCCAATGGCATTTTATTAACTTGACTGTGGCATTAATAAGTAATTCTAAATTAATACAAAAATGCAATCACAAATGTGTGAATGCATTGAAGTGTGAACGAAAGGCAGTGCACACAAGAAAAATGTGTACACATGAAGAAATTCTTCATTCCAGGTTTTTACTGATCCCTCTGGTCAAGATGGGGAAAAAGTCCAAATACCTGCTTTCCTCACATGGTCAAATGATTCAGCATAAAATATAACTGATTGAACACAATTATCTATGCTTTAAATATATTAGAAAAATCCATAAGGAAAAATGATCCTATCATCACTAAGAGTTTAAGTCATAATAAAATAAAGCCTACAAATGTATCTTTTGTTCCCAATTGCAATGATTCTAGGAGTGCAGTATTTGGCTTTTAAAAGACCATTTAGAAAAACTCAGGGAAGTTTTCTTAACAAATGCTATAGCAGGACCACAACTAAACCTATGGGCAGTAGTAGAAATAAACAAAGACACTGGCTTTAAAATTTTATTTTGAAAAACCTGTTGGAAGATGCATCACTAGCTCCTAATTTAACTACTATCATTTGAGGTCATATGTTAGATTGGCAAAGTAGTAATTTTTATGTATTTTATTTTTGTAATGCAAGTGCTTCACTCTGCTATCTGATAAAATAAAATGTCAAGCCGGGCATGGTGAGGCATGCCTTGTAGTCCTAGCTACTCAAGACACTGACACAGGATGATTCCTTCAGTCCAGGGGTTCAAGACTGCAGCCAGCTATGATGGTGCCACTGCACTCCAGCCTGGGCAACAGAGTGAGAATAAAATGTCAATGCAAAATCTTAGTGTTAGCAGTTCAACCTTGAACTGATTATGTGACATACTAGTTGGGAGAAGCTGTTGTGTACTATGAAGTTTGGGGAATATCAACAAGAAGTAAATGTTAGTCTTTTTTCTAATTGACAAACTAAAAGAAAATTCCATAAACCTTTAATGCTAAGCTAAATCATTATAAATGAATGATAAAAATTTATCGTACAAAACATAACCAGTTGTTAGGTGTATCTGAAGATTAATTTGAAAAAAGATGAATGAAAGAAGTGTTCTAGGAATAAAAACTACAAAAGAATTATAAAAGCTTATCATGCCCTTGGCTGGAGTTACACAAAGTTACTACTCATCTTTAAATTGGGATGAGCATGGTGGATACTTCTTAAAGTTGACGCAAGTATTAAATGTATTTTAAGGCATCAAAGGCACCTAGAACTGTGCCTGAGACATATTAAGTGCTAAAGTCTCTGTAAATATCTATATAATACCAAATTCAAAGTCCTGATCCTTTGCACATGCTCAATGTGTTTAAAATTCTGTTCATTTCCCCTTCTGCATTCACAGTGAAATGTTTCTGATTAATTTAATGAGCTGTGTGAGGTGTTTATCACCTTTTACATTAAACTTGGTACATTGTACAGCACTCTTATATTGTAACAAATAATTTAACAAGCTAACACAGACTTACCTGTCTCTCGAATGTCTGTGTCCCCCTCTTCTGCTCCATCGGCGCCCCTGCACCCCCAGATCCAGCCCTGTTCTCTCTGCAGGGGCAGGGATGGGTGGGAATGGAGAGCCTGGTGGCAGAGGGTGGGGTTTCAGAGGCAAGAGGAGGGCCCTGCCTTTGTGCTGGTTACAGAGGTGGTTGCATGAACAGCCGTGCCATTTCCTCCATCCAGTCGCTGGACCAGAGGCCCCTCCATGGGCATCCCAGCCAGTGAGGACCAGGCCAAGGGAGAGGGGGCCTGGCCAGGCCCCCAGGCGGTATGAGGGGCGTGAGCTTCTGCCAGCCCCTGGCACATGCCAGGGCCTCACAGGGCCTCCCTGGGAAAGGATTCAGGCTAATTGGGGCATTCACTGGGCAGACTCAGCCAGGAGGCGTTTCTCAGTTAAGAGATGGGCTGGAGGGGTGCTTAGTGCACGTGCAGTGACTGTATGAGAGCCACCAGGCAGTGTGAGGCCGGGGTGCGGATGCCTTATGGTGGGCACTGCCTGCTTGTGGTTGGTAGAATGGGGCTGGCCATGGTCGGGCAGGGTTGCTGTATGTATGAGGTTCTCACCAAATGTGATGGGGGTTGTGTCTCTGGTGAGTGTGTGTGACAGTGAGTGTGTGAGCTTGTAGTGGTGTGTAGTATGTGATTTTGTGAGGGTGTGCATTGCCGTGTGTGTGTGTAGGGGTGGGGCTGGGGGTGTGGCGAGGGTGCTGAGAGCCTTCAGGAGGGAAAGGATATGTGTGCTGCCTTGGACAATCCCGGTCCCCTGGTCCCCGAGCTGTGGACCTCCCCAGCCCTGGATCCTGGGTCCCGGCCTGGCTGAGAGATGAGGCCCCTTTCCTCCGAGCTCCTGCCCTCCTGCCTCAGCAGCCCCACCCCACTAGGCCTTGCCCCTCCCCAGCCGCCTTAGCTCCAGCAGGCAACCTGCACAAACACCACTGCACTCGGCCCTCACACCAGCCCTATCAGGTGAGTTTAAACTGTCAGCTGTCACCTGTCTTCAGGCAGGGCCCTTGTCGCTTTGCACAGCCAGTGTGCACTTTCCTTCACTTGCTCATCGTTTGCAGACAATTTCCCAAGCACTCATGGTAAGGAATCGATGTCTTGCTGGAGAAAGTAAAATCCCAGCAGAAGGCAGGATGGAGGGAGACGTCCAGGTGCGTGTGGTACCCACCCCACGCGTGTGGATGCTGAGCACAGAGTGTCACTGTGGACCGGAGCAAAGTAGATGCCAGGTTCAAATGGGGTGTCCAGTGCCTGTGCATGTGAGGAGGTGGCAGCTCAGAGGGGAGGTCACCGAGGGGGTGGGAGCGGGTGAGCAGGTACAGGTGCTCACCTCCGACTCCTCCAGAGCCTCTGCTCTCATACCCATGCTGGCAGCTCCTGCCAAGCGGTCCCCTCAAAACCCTCTCAGTCAGGCCCTCGGTCCCCCATTCGTCTAGCCAAGTGTGGATTACCGCCTGTCCTGGGCAGGCCCCGCACATGTCCTGGGCTCTGTAAGGCCCCCAGCAGAAAGACCGAGCCAGGGAGATAAATGCGGCCCGGCCAGGGAAGAGCTGGGTGGGGAGCCAGAGTGTGGCTGAGCAGCCGAGGTGGGGGTGCTCCTGGCTGAGGGAGCAGTGTGTGCAGAGGCCTGTTGGGGGCACAGATCTGGTCAGATGGGTGGATCCTGGTGGGGACTGGGGTGGTACTGGATGCTGCAGCAAACCCAAATTCACTGTGTGCATTAGGGAGACCCTCCTGGGGAGGAGGTGCAGGCCTTGAGTCACACACACACACACACACACACACACACACACAAACACACACACACGGGGCTGCAGAGGGTTGTAAAGCTGGGAGTATGTCTCGGGTGCTGGAGACTGATGAGCTGGGGAGTGGGGCCACAGGCAGAAGCAGACTGGGGTGGGGGTGACAGGTGATAGGAACCAAGCCTGGCCCCTGGCCCTCTGTGCAGTCCCAGACCCAGCTGGAGCCAGCCCAGCCCTCACGTGTCCCACACCCAGCTCACCCTGGAGGCCCTTTGCTGGCACCTGGTGTCCTCCCTACCTTGAACACCCCTCTGGCCACAGCATTGCTACGTGCGCTCCATTGATTTACATTCAGGCTTCGCTCCAGCTGAAGACAAAAGTAGCACCTGATTAGTCACCAGTCACCAAACCCTCTGAGCAGCTGTTTCTGGTCCCCTTCCTGAGAGCTGGTTTGGGGAAGGGCCTGCTTTGGGAGTCAGAAGGAAGGAGCTGTGTGTGTGTGTGTGTGTGTGTGTGTGTGTGTGTGTGTGTGTCCACAGGGTCCAGGGGTAGCTTCCAGCCTCTGTCCTCCCCTCTGTCCTCCCCTAGGGGAGCTGGGGGACCTGCTTTCCTGCCCCTGTCCTCGTGTGTAACTCTCCACCCCCTACCCTGCTGGGAATTCTTGCCTTCACATTTTGCCATAATGTAGATTTTTCCACTTGAATTCCTAGGGTTTGTCTTTTCATTGTTTTCCTCTCTTTTTAAATTTAAAAGTTTTTTTTTAAAGGAAAGGAGAAAGTGAGCATGTGCCTATGTCTCTGCTGGCCTCAGGACCAGTGGCTGGGCCCCGAGAGGCCAAGCCTGGGGACCAGAGGGAGCTGGCTCAGGGTTCGGGAGAAGGACTTTTCACCTTCCTTGTCTGGAGCCCAGTCTCCAGGGTGACAGCTTGGAGGACCCCTGACTGTCTCCCCGCACCAGGGAGTTGGGAGGCAGGGGCACAAGCCGGCTCCTCTCATGGGAAGCCTTTTCTTTCCGCCGGCCCAGCCTGACTGCACCAGGTGGGCACATCCCACAAGTGGCGGGGGTTGGGGGGTCCTTGAAGGCAGGGGATCTGGAGGCTGTTGGAGGGGGTGACCTTGCAGCATAGTGGGAGGACTTTTTGAGACAGGTGGGGTGGGGTGAGCCATGCCAGGGAGGATGGGAAGTGCTGCCAGGGCAGGTCAGAGGGTGCTGCCCTGGTCAGACCTCCTGTAAACCTGAGCTCACCTCAGGCATGGACAACCCCAGGTAGTGCAGTTTATTCATTCTTCTGTTATACAACATTTAGGCTGTTTCCATTTTTTTGCAGGTTCAGACAGTGCTGTGTTGAGCGACTTTGTGTGGGTCTCCTGTGCCCACGTGCTGGGGTTTCCCTGGGGATGAGTGTGGATGGGGAAGCCCTGGCTTTCGGGCAGCCAGCACATTCAGCGTTACTAGATGCTGCCGTGTGGCTCTGCGCAGGCTTCTGATGGACATGCCTTGATCAAGTGTCCAGTGCCTTAGAGTAAAGGAGGCCCTGAGGGATGGGGCAAGCATAAGTTGGTTTTGATGGGTGGGACGGCCCAGGGAGAAGGGGAGGCGTGGAGCCTGGGCAGGCTGGGGAGGAGGCGCGGAGCTGGGAGAGGTAGCGGGTCCTGTTGGAAAGCAGTCAGGGGCTGGCCTGGATCCCAAACCTCCCAGTGCAGTGGTGAGAACCTCGCCTGGCGGTGGCTCTGCCCCTGCTACTGTGCACCCCCAGGCAAGGCCTCTCTGGCCTCTATCTCTTTACTGTCCATCCAGCTTGGGCCAGGAGGTCTCCAAGGTCCCTACGGACTTGATATGCTTGGATTTTCTTGGCAAGTGGCTGTGGCTTCCTGCCCCTGGCCGGCGAGCAGAGGCTCCAGCTTGGCTGGGATGGCAGAGCTTGCAGCTGGCAAGTGGCAGATGGGTGTTTGTTAGGAGCCTGGGGGGCTGGGGTCCTGGCAGGAGGCTGTGCAGAGGCTTGCCAAGGGGGACCCAGGAGAGCCAGGGAGGCGATGGGGACTCCCAGACTTCTTCATGTGTGTCTCCCTCCACATATGATCCTGTGCCTGGAGCCTGGGGGGTGGAGGGCTCAGCCTCTGCCCTGAGATAGGGGGAGGGCTTTGTGGGCTTTAATTTGATTACATCTCCTCTCACTGGACCCATGGGTTCTTATTTTATTCAGTGACACTGGGGGAAGGGCACAGGGTGAGGAGGAGTGCCCCTCCCTGGGAGAGAGGTCTGAAGCGGGCATCTGCAGGAGTCTTAGCCATGTGGCCCAGGGACTGGGCAGAGGGATGGCTGCTGGGCTTGGTGTGACTTTGGGTCTGTAGCAGCGCGGCGTGGAGTGCACAGGGTGGGCTGTGTCAGTGGTGGACATGGCTCTATGCCAGAGCGTGCATTCTGTGTGTGTGTGTGTATCTGCATGCTAACCCCCCTAAACAACAGAGGCTGCAGAAGAGGCTCCGGCTCTTGAAACCGTGCCCTTTATTCTCGGTGGTTGCTGTGGAGTAATTGCTTTGCAAGGAAAGGGAGGGGAGGGGCTTCAGGAAGTGGGGGCCTCTCCGCCTGAGGGAGGTTCTGGACACAGACCCGGACTGCAGTCCTCCTGACTGGCTGTGCGACCTTGGCTAGGCTATTTAGCACCCTGAGCCTCAGTTTCTTCATTTGTAAGATGGGGATATTAGCACCTGCTAATGTGTGAGGTTCATGGAGACTGGGTCTCGCATGGTGCCAGGCATGCAGTGGGTGCTCAGGGCCTCTCAGGCCGCTCCGGTCCTCTCTGGCTGCAGTAGGCGCCAAGACAGCAGTTGAGGCAGAGGTTGTGCCACTGCCAGGAGCTTGTATCTCCCCAGGAGAGGGCCTGGCTTGTGAGCCAGCTCCTTTCCCCACACGCCTGAGCAGCCATTGCTGACAATAGGGCTGTGAAACAAAGGGACTCCATGGGCACTTGGTTTCTCATCCTGGGGGCAGCAACACTAGTGGGCACTCACCCCAGGGTGGGCACCATGCCTGCCATGTTCATGGGCACACAAGCCCTCTCGACTCCACAACCCTATCCCTTCCCTTCATGACTGGCTGACAGCTGGCCGCTGGAGCCAGATGGCCCAAGTTCAAACCCCAGCTCTGCCCCTGACTGTCTTCATGAAACTGGGGAAGCTACTTAACCTCTCTGTGCCTCAATTTCCTCATTTATAAATTGGAGATATGGTGATTACACTGACCTCAGGTGAGTGAGTCCATGTAAAATTTGCAGAGTAGCATTTACCATGCATTGGACACTCCATAAATGTTCCTTAGTATTATGGAGCTCTGCATGCTCCCTCCCCCCGCTCTCCCCTTCGGTCTGAATGTCCTGAAGTTGTGAGAACATCAGACCCTCCTCAGACTGTGCTTGCATCTCAGGTACGTTGTGGCTCACTCACCCTCCTGCTAACTGAGCTGTGGCCACCTAATTCTTCCTTCGCCAGCAAAACGAAGCTTGCAAGATATGCCCTGAGGTGCCAGGCAGGACCATCACATGGATCCTCTTAGAGGAGCGTCACTCAGAAATATGACTTAACAATTTCTCCCTGTTTGAGAGCAATTAACTCCCTTCCCCTGCCTTCCTCCTGGCTCCTGCAGGCAGGTGGCTCATCCTCCCCTGCCTTCCCCTCCCAGTCCAGCCTCTTCCTCTGTCCATCTGTCTCCCCAGATGGGGGGGAGAAATGTCACAATTGGCCCACTTTCTAAGTGGAAAGAAACCATATGGAGGGTTTAGCTGGGAGCTGAGAGGCGGCCCGGCCAGCGGCGCAGCCAGTAGCTGCCTCCCTTGGCTGTCTCTGTGGCCCCAGACTGACAGGGGCCCCAGTCCTACCCAAGCACCCTTGCTCCTTCTCCCCTCCCCGTGAGCTCCTAGTAACCATGCTCTTCTCTAGCACTTGGGACTCCTTGGTGTGTTAGGAGGGACCCGAGGAGCTGTGTGTGTGTTTGCACGCGTGTGTGCATGTGTGTGCATGCATGTGTGTGCATGTGTGTGTGTGTGTGTTGTGTCCTGTGGTCCCATGCCAGCAGGCGCTGGGCACAGAGCAGCCACTCCTTCCAGGGAGGGTACCCTGTTCTCCCTAGACTGCCTACTGCCTGGCCACTTACATCCTCTAAGGACTCAGCCCGGTGTCACTGCCTTTGGGCAGCCTTCCCTGCCGGCCATCTCCCTGCCCACAGGTAGGGGCCCCTCCGTGGGTGGAGCTGGGTGCTGGCACTGCCCTGTGGGGCTGGTGGTAGTCGTGTTTCCTGCAGTCTGAGCCCCTGGCAGCTCCACCCACAATTTTCTGATGTATTGGGACAAGTCTGTGTAGAAGGCTCAGGTGGCCCCAACCTGGACCTCAAGGAGTACTTAGCCAAGGTGTTTGGTTTGAGGCACGTGTTGAGTTGAGTGGGATCCAGAGGAGGGCAGCAGCTAGATACCAGGGCTGGCTTCAAGATTAATCCCTCATGCTTTTCCATCGACTGCCACCAGAGGCCTCTGGGGTCTTATTCTCTGGGGTCTCCAGCTCCTGGACTCAGAACTGTGTGGCTCTGGGTAAGCCACTTCTCTTCCCTGAGTTTCAGTTTCCTCATCCGTTAAAGGGAGTGGCTGATACCAGCATGGCCTGCAGATGCTCTGTACCCGGAGGTCGAGTGGGATTTAAATACATGAATGACATCTGTCCCCTGCCAGCACTCGAGAGGCACATCTGGGGCTGGGGACTGGCTGCACCCAAGTGCTCCCCGGGCCTCTGATGGCCGCCCAGCCTGGGCATGAATCCCGACAACACCAAGTATTGACCCTCTCCTGATGGTTCCAGCCCTAGTGGCTGCGCATGCTGTTCTTACCAAGGGCCTGGAGATGGGGGCCAGGGACAGGAGCCCTGAGAGGTGTGCAGATGTGGGTGTAGCAGCCACAGTGCCTCAGGGTGGGCTCTCTTCCCAGATTTAACCCTCCAAGAAACGTTATGAGGTGGTTACAATACAAATAATCAACATTTACGAAACACTAGGTACCGGATGTTGTCTTTACATGCATTACCTTACTTATTTTATTACAATTCTATGAAATAGGTGATATCATTATTTTCACTTTATAGGTGATGTACGTGCAGCACAGAGAGGTTCAGTAACTGACCTAAGGTCACACAGCAGTAAGTGGCAGAGCTGAGATTTGAACCCAGGCAGTCTAGCTCCTAAGTATGATGCTGTGCTGCTTCTAGCTGCTGTATGGGGAAACTGAGGTAGAGTACTTAAGTGACATGCCCAGGGTCACCAGCTGGTAAGGGGAGCCAAGACTGATACTGCAGCTATTCTGACTGCACAGCCTATATCCAGAGGCTGGGATCCCAGGGTTGGGAGTCGGGCTGGGGAGCCTGGGCGGCACCCAGCCCCCATCTCCTGGAGTGTGTTGGGAGGGTGGTGGGGAGACTCAGGCTCCCCTGCCTGACTCAACTAACTGCTGCCCCTCCTGCAGGGGGCGTGTGCATCGCCCAGTCGGTGAAGATACCCCGGGAGCCCAAGGCAGGCGAGTTCGACAAGATCATCCGCCGCCTCCTGGAGACCTCAAACGCCAGGGCAGTCATCATCTTTGCCAACGAGGATGACATCAGGTGAGGGCAGGCAGCAGCGGGGTGGGCATCGGGATCCATGCAGTGTGGGCAGAGCCATGGGTCCTGTCCTACTTTCCCAGGTGAGCCTGACCCCACCCTAGGATCCAGAGGTGGGTACAGGTGAGTGGGTGTGTGGGCAGGGTGACCCCCAGGCTGGAGTGCAGGCCACTGCTACGGGGCACCACTTCCCTCCCCTCTCCATTCTTGCATCCATTCCAGCTGCTAGAGATGGCTACCTGGGTGATTTAACAGAGGGCTGAGGCTATGGGCTTGGGGCCAGACCACTTAGGTTCTAATGCTGTTCTCCCACCTACTAGCTGTGTGATCTCAGGTGAATTTCTTAACCTCTCTGGGCCTCTGCTGCTAAAAAACAAATGAGCTAACGATACCTGCCTGACAGCATTTGAGAATTCAATGCAGGAATGTGCATAAAAGGCTTAGAGTAGCATCTGGCATGAAATAGGCACCCAGTAAATGTGGGCCAACCCTCAGCCCCTCCCTCCTTTCTGTGGTGAGCTCAGGATACAGAGATGAGGTCTGGGTTGTGTGTGGTTCTAGTCTTGGCTTAGGCTCAGAGCGACCAGGCTGAGGGGAGGCACAGCCTTGTCCTCAGGGAGCCCCAGGCTGGGGGGAGATACTGCCCTGCTCAGAATCTGGTAGGGTCCTCTAGTCCCCGCTGGCCACTTCTCCTTCAGAGAGGAGGGTGAGAGCAGGTGTGACCCCTGCCAGGCCTCCTCAGATATCTGACCCAGGCTGGCAGAGCCTGCTGTGCCCTCAGACTCCCCTCACTGGACCAGCCAAGGCTGCCCTGTGTGCCCAGCCCTTCCCAGGTGGCTCCTCCTATTCCTCACCACTGCTCCCAAACCGTTTCTCATTTGGAAAGGCCCTAACGTGGACTCCAGCATTGCTGCAAAACAGATCCCCTCCCAGGCCACTGGGGGGTCCCTGGAGGGATGGAGGAGGGCTTTGGCCTCAAAGGACAAAACGACCAACTGCAGTGGTGGTGTCTCAGGCAGTGAAAGGCCAGGGAGGGGAGCCCTCCAACCCCATCCTGACACCCTCAGAGCTGCACAGAGGCAGCGCCCAGTCCCTTGAGGTGTGCAGGTCCCCTGAGTTCCGGCTCTGAACGTTTCTGACGGCCACAGCTCAGCCAGCTCCTGCCCGCTACTCCCACCCCAAAGCCTGGCAAGACTTGGCTCCCTCACCCCACCCAGCTCTGCAGCTCACTCCAGGCCTGCTGTTTTGGGGGACCCCTTCAGCTCAGATGGACCCACGTGCTGGGAGGGGGACTGAATGCTCTGGGCCTTTTGTCCCAGAGAAGAGGCCCCTAGGGGAGGTCTGGAAGGGAGCTAGACTGACTTCCGGAGCAGGCTGCGGGAAGCGGGTGGGAGGAGGGGGTCATTTCTGGAAATCCACCTGCGTTTTCATAAGCAAACAGAAGTAAAAATAAACCCAGGTGACTCTGCAGGGCTGGACGGTTGGGAGCTCTGGCCATCTGAGGCTGGCCGGATGCAGGTGGGTATGAACAGGGTGTGGGTGTGGGTTCTGAGAGCAGCCTTACCTGCCATTAGTGGTGACCTAGGATGTGGGGGCAGGGGCTACACCGGTGAGCGGGGCTGGAAGGCCTCAGGCACTGGGAGATGATGGACGTGGCGGGGGGATGAGGATGGACAAGACCAGCTCAGGTGAAGGCTCTGCAGCCTGGAAACATCCATTTCTCCCTGAAAGCCCAGGCTCTCCAGCCCCTGCTGGCCGCCTCCTGCACAGGCCTAGCAGCCACCCCTGAGCCCTGGGGTCTGTGCCCTGGTCCCCACTGATGGAAGGGCCTGGACAGTTTCTAGTATCACAGCCTCTTGCTTGCTGTGTGACACGAGCAAGTTCCTTACCTCCTCCCTGCCTAGTCACTCCGTGGGAGCTGGGTTAGAGGAATGCTGCCCTTTCCTCCTTGTTTTTCCCTTCTGGAGAGATATCTTGGAGAGGCCACTTCATTCATGCCTCCCGAAGCCCTGGCTGAGCGCTTGCTGCAGGCTCTGTGGCCCCAGGCTGGGCTTTCGGGTCCCTGGTTTGATTTGGATTACCATCGCAGGCAGACTGGGCTGCGTGTGAGCGTAGGGCAGCTGCATACCTGCCTCCCTCCATCACCCACTCCCACTCAGAGTGTGGGGAGCAGCTGTCGGAAGGGCCTGGGCTTTTGGCACAGAGGGTGGTGAATGAAGAGGGAGCCTTGGGCAGGCGGCAGCATGTGCAGTGGGGGAAGGGGGCGGTTGTGTGGTGGTGGATGGGTGTGAGGATGGGCAGGGTGTGGGGATGCATGGGACAGGAAGGCATGTGTCTCAGGCGATGGGGTGGGCAGAGGTGGTTCTGGGGCCTGAATCAGACATGGGGTGGGTGTGGATCTGGGGGTACAGTGGTGGTCTTTGCAGGGACAGATGGGGGTCTGGAGAATTACACTGGGGCTGCAGGCAGGCGTGGGCCCAGGGGCAGACAGTTTGGATGAGGCAGTAGCCATGAGCCTGTGGGTAGGTGGGGGCGGGGCACGGGGGACCCATGGGCATGGGTGCCGGGACAGTTGTGGACTCTGGGCTCCTGGGGGTCAGGGCTGTGGGCCCACAGCAAGTGTGGCCAGGAGTGGGGGCAGGTGCATGGACAGACACGGCTGGGCTGGGCTGGTGTGTGTTCCCTACAGGCGTGTGCTAGAGGCAGCGCCAAGGGCCAACCAGACAGGCCATTTCTTCTGGATGGGCTCTGACAGCTGGGGCTCCAAGATTGCACCGGTGCTGCATCTGGAGGAGGTGGCTGAGGGGGCTGTCACCATCCTCCCCAAGAGGATGTCCGTGCGAGGTAGGCCGGGCGGGCACTGGTGGTCGGCGCCATTCTGGACTGCTCCTCCTCTCGCCCCTCCTACTTCCTTCCTTTCCTGCTCCTCCTCTTTCCAAAGCCGTCCTTCCTCTTCCATGGCCCCCAGCCTCTTGTGTTTGGAGGTTCTAGGCTGGGAGGTCTTTTATGCCACACTCAACACAGAAGAATTTGAATCCAGATTCAGGACCTTTCCTCCTCCCTTCTCAGGGATTTTTTTTGGGGTGGAAGGTGTGTGGAGAGTCCACTCAGAAGAGGGCTGGGAGCTGCCGGCCAGGGCTACAGGACAGGGCTTTTCTGCAGAGTCTGCCTGGGCTTGGCAGGCCCTGGGTGGCACTGAGGTTGGGCCTGCCTTGCCCTGAACCCCCTCCTCTTGGGGCAGAACCCACAGTCTCCTGGGCAGGAATGAACTTCTCTGGCCAGAACCTCACAGGGCATGAGGTGTGATGTTCCCATGAATGGGCTGATTTGGCAGGGACCTGACAGTCCTCACCATGGGGAGAAGGCTCCCTGGGCCCTCTCTTTCCCTGCCCTCCCTCCCTTCAGTAGGAGACAGCGTTAATGGAGCTGGGAGGGACTGTGGACATCGGCCTTTCCAAGGCACCTCCCAAGACACTGAGGCCTGAGGAGGGGAGGGACTTGCTCAAGGTCACACAGCAGTGTCCTCTCTTCATCCTGAGGCAGAGGGAGTGCCCCGGCCCATACCTGTCCATAGGCCCATGGCTACCCTGTCATCCAAACCTGCCCCTGGGCCTACACCTGCCTACAGGCCCAGTGTAAACCCCCAGGGCCACATCTGTCCCTGCAAAGACCACACCCATCTCCCCCTCCACACCTGCCCTGTGTCTGGCTCAGGCCCCAGAACCACCTCTGCCCAGCCCCATCCCCTCAGACACATGCCTTCCTGCCCCATCCATTCCCACATCCATCATGCATCCAACCCCCACCCCCATCACACACAGTGGGAGTTTCCAACCACCCCAAGCCATAATCAACACAGTGTGGGGATAACTGTGCTTACGGTGCTTACGCATGCCACGTCCCTGACGGACAGCTCCTTTAGTCTCCCAGCCACCCTGTGATTCACTCTTGCCCACCTTGAGTAGATGGATACGCAGGGCTCAGAGAGATTCAGGCACATAGCGCAGCGAGCTGCCGAGATGGGGCAGGAATCCAGGACTTGCCTGACAAGTTCCTTTTCTCTCAGGAACATTTGAGAACAGTGGTCCTCATCTGGGGGTGATTTTGCCCCCCAGGGGCATTTGGCAATTTCTGGAGCCATTTTTGGTGTTGACAATTGGGGGATGCTGCTGCCAGCCTCCAGTGGGTAGAGGTCAGGGTGCTGCCCGGCATCCTGTGGTGCACTGGACAGCCCCCGACAGGAGTTGTCCTGCCCAGAGTGTCCACAGCGCCGAGGCTGAGAAATCCTATTGCAGGCCAAAGCTCCGGCTCAATGCCAGCGAGTCTCCTGTCATGCAGCCAGTCATTTTGCTCCCACGTGGACATTTCCATGGGCCTCGCTGAGCTTTCAGGCCTCTGGCCCATACAGAGCAGCTCAGTCCACAGGGCCGGGTATAGTCAGTATGGCAGGAGGGGCGTCTGGGAGGAGGAGAGGGTGGTGTTCACCACCTACTTGCCCACCCTAGGACAGGGTTTCCCAGGCTGAGAGCAGAACTATGAGCCGTGCAGAGCATGTGGGAGAGGGAGGCTGCCTCTGTCAGTGACGGGGACATCCTGGATATGAAGGGAGAAGGTCCAGGTCCTGGTCTTGCTGTGTGGCCTGGGTGGTCCCCACCTCTTTCATCCTTCCTGGCCTCCTCTTTGGGTGCTCCCAGGGTTGGACAGCGCCCCCAGCCTCTGTGCGGTAATCTCAGGACTCCCAGGCGGCTCCTCAGAGCCTGCTGTTAGCATTGCAGCGGTTAAAGGCCGTGGAAACATCTTCATCGGTGCGCTTCTCTTCCATAAAGGCAGCAGTTGTAGATTACACACGCTCCCCTGGGACCTAATACAGCTCTTTTCATTTTGAATGAAATGAAATGCTCCACATTTTGTTTTCTCCTGGGTCAGAGGATGTGCTCCTCTGGGTCTCTCTCCCTCCGCCTGGGCCTCTCTCCCTCCGCCTGGGCCATCTCATCCTGGGGGAGGTGGGAAGGGCTGGGGCTGGTGGGAAGGAGGCCAGTGAGGTCCTGACTTCCTGGTGCCCTGCCAGGCTTCGACCGCTACTTCTCCAGCCGCACACTGGACAACAACCGGCGCAACATCTGGTTCGCAGAGTTCTGGGAGGACAACTTCCACTGCAAGCTGAGCTGCCACACTCTCAAGAAGGGCAGCCATGTCAAGAAGTGCACCAGTGAGCTCGTGGGCTGTGGGGGGCCGGGCGGGGCTGGGCGGGCTCCAGTGGGCTCTAGGAGGAGTCGAGCCCAGGGGCCTGACCTGAGAATCTCCGGAGTTGGGCAGGCACCTGCAGTGGAGTTGGGAGGCCCTGGGGCAGGGCCTGGAGAGGCGGGGCTGAAGCTGATTTGGGGTGTGGCCCTGAGATCCTTGGGGTGGCAAGGCCTCTGGCTGCCTCCTGGTTGATGTGGACGTCCTTAGGGCGAACACACAGCCCTGAACTGACTGACCCCTCTTGTCCTGTGTCCAGTCTTGACGCATACCAGGCTGGGCACTTCCCTGAAACCACCCCAGGGTTCCCTCCAAGGTTCCCTTCGTCATTCAGTAAGCACCAGGTTGGCTCCCAGGCGTAGCTTGCCCCAGTGAAAGCCTGGCTATGTAGCAGTGAAGAAAGAGTCCAATGGCACTCGGAGATTTTATTCTAATGGGAGACAATCAACACGATGAGTGAATTATAGAACATGTCAGAACAGAAAGGTGCAGGAGAAACAAAACAGATAATAACAAGAATGGAAAGTGTGAGGAGAAGGGAATCTGCAGCTGTGAAGTGGCCAGGGACAGCCTGCTTGCACAGGTGACATCTGAGCCCTCACAGGAGTGGGATGAACTGCACGGGGGAGGGGCAGTGATCGGCCCATTTTACAGATGGGAGAACGGAGGCTCAGAGGAGGTGAGTAGAGGGACTTGAATTCCCATAGATGGAGGGTGGTAGAGCACGACTTGTACCTGGGTCTGAGCCCTAGGCCCCCCACCCCCTAGGTAGCCATCGTGGTGTGTCCACATCAGATACATCTGGACAGGGGTCTTTTCATGCCCTGGGTCTGGGTCACTCTGTGGCAGGACCCAGCCTCAATAACATTGGGGTGCTCTGGTGCCTCTCGGCTTGAGGGTTGCTTAAATGAGGATGATGAGTTGCCCCCTGTATCCTCCCAGACTCGAATGTGCAGTTGGGCAAAGGGCGGGGCACAGGCTGCATGGAATCTTTGGCAGACAGGTCCTCCAGGGTGGGGGGAGAAGGGAGTATGATGAGGGTGGGTGGGGAGCATGCTGCCCTCTGGTGGCCAAAGCCCAAAGGGACTTGCCGCCACTGGACCACTGGGGACCCCGAGAAGCTCACAGCCAAACCTACCCGATCTGCAGAGTGAGTGCAGGTATGTGAGTGTGCACAGGTGGCTGTGTGTGTGAATACATCTGTGGCATGTGACTTCGTGTGTGTGAGAGTTGGTGTTCCTGAGAGAGAAGGGGTGTGTGTGCCTGTGTCTTACATGAGGCTTGCGTATTCCTGGGTGAGCTAAACATAAACACTGCTGTTTACTATGTATCCACTGTGTTCCAAACACTTTAAAGACATCGTCTTTAGAATGTAAAAGACATTTCACTCTCACAGCAACTCTAGGAACTCTTACGATTCCTGCACTCTAGATGAGGATATGGAGAGTCGGAGAGACCAAGTGCCTTGCCCGAGGCTGCACAGCAAATGCCTGAATCAGGCAGTGATCACGGCAGAGGTGTGAGAAGTGCAGACATGCCTGGTGTGGAGGCTGAGCTCTCACGGGTGGGGTGGCTGTGTATCCTGTCTCCTGTGTTCTGGGGTCATTATTGAGAGCATCCCCTCCGGTTCTTGGAAGTGCCCACGTGGGATGGAAAATTGGGCACCCTGACTGTAGCTCACCAGACCTAGCTCGGGGGTGAGGATGGGGATGGATGGGATGGGGGTGGGGTGGGGAGGGAAGACTGGAAGCGGTGGCAAGATGGACAGCTGGGGCCTCCTGGACCCAGTGTCTAGGCTGTCGAGGGGTGTGGGCTGTCAAGGAGAAGGGCTTTCTGGAATCTCCTCTTTGTCTGGGATGGGTAGGAAGGGAGAAGGCTTTCGTCAGTTCCTGTAGGCTCTGTCTAGACTCCTAGTTCTTGGGGCAGGATTCATTAACCTCTCCAGCAGTCCTAAGGGAGGCATTTGGTCTGATGGTCAGTGCAGGTGGGGAAGGAGGACTGGAGCAGGGTTCAGAAGAGCGCAGAGCTCCGCTGGGCATGGTGGCTCACGCCTGTGATCCCAGCACTTTGGGAGGCCGACGTGGGTGGATTATCTGACGTCAGGAGTTCAGCCCGGTCAACATGGCAAAACCCATCTCTAGTAAAAATACAAAAATGAGCTGGGTGTGGTGGCAGGCACCTGTAATCCCAGTTACTCGGGAAGCTGAGGTATGAGAATCATTTGAACCTGGGAGGTAGAGGTTGCAGTGAGCCAAGATTGCATCACTACACTCCAGCCTGGGCAACAGAATGAGATTCCATCTCAAAAAAAAAAAAAAAAAAAAGCAAAAAAGCACAGAGCTTTGCTGTGAGCCTGAGGCAAGCTCTGTGACCTTTCTGGGCCTTTGCTTTCTCATCTGAGCAATGGGATTGATGAGCTTAATGGAGGCACCTCCCGATCTGTCAGTGGCAGCTGTAAAACCTGGAGGTGCGTTAGAGTCACCTGGGAGCTTTTAACACGAGGCCAGGGTGCCACCCCCAGACCAACTAGCTCAGAATCTTAGGGGTGGGGCCTAGGCTGTGGATTTTTATAGTGCTCCCTAGGTGATTTTAATGTGTATTTAGGGCTGGAGCAGTGGTTTCCAAGCTTTGTTCACACTGAATCACCTGGGAATCTTTTACAAATACGGACACCCTAGACCTTCTGGTTTAATTTGCACTGGAGGCAACCTGAGCATTGGGATGTTTTGAAGCGCCCCAGGTGCTTCTACTGTGCAGCAAAGTCTGGGAGCCTCTGGCTTGGAGGGAGGATGCATGCACCCTAGGCTGGGTCGGGGGGTGGCATGAGCAACGGGGCAGAGGCTCTAGTGGACGCAGTGGGTCTCAGCCAACCTGAATCCTTCCTACTGCGTTGGGAGCCCCAGCAGAGGTGGGTAAGAGTCCCTGTGTGGCCCCAGACCAGGCGCCAGGAGCCTGTTGGTCTGTCTCTGGGTGAGGTGAGGGGCAGGTGGGGGTACTGCTGGGAATGTTTGTGGGACCTGAGACTCTGGGGGAGGGGCAGGCAGCTCTGGTTTCACCATGGCCCTGCCCCTGAGCTGAGCCTGTCCTGCCAGAGAAGGTCTTAGGCCAGGAGGGCTGGAGTGACACCCACAGAGAGCTGGGAGCAGGGGCAGGGGAAGGACCCACGCCTGAGTCTGAGTCTGGCTCTGCCTCCTCCCTGCTGTGTGACCTTGGACAAGTTATCTGACTTCTCTGAGTCTCCGCTGCTGTCTGTAGAACAGGGAAGGCAACAGCTATCTCAGTGGCTGTGAGGTTTAGAGAGAAAGCATGTGAGGAGGCTGGCTGAGAATGAAATATATGATAGGTGCTGATAAAATGATTGTTATTGCTGATATAGAGGAAATGGGAGAGTCGGGATTTAGACAGGCAATTGGGTAATCTAATAGTCCAAGTCTGTTGGTACCAATTCTGTCTGTTATGTGGAAAGAATGTGCCATCCTGAAGGTGGGTGGTATAGATGGTCACAGATGCAACTCCCATTTTACAGAAGAGGAAACTGAGGCAACTTGTGAATATCACAGAGCTAGAGGGTTGTCAGTGCTGGATTTTTGCCCAGGTAGCCTGGCTCTGAAGCCAGTGTTGGGCCCTGCCTTCTGCCCACTTCCTGTCCTTCCCTCTCACTACTCTGGGGCTCCTCCCTCTTGCCCTTAGCCAGCCCAGCCATGCTCTGTGGTCTCCGAGACATACTCTCCACCTGCCCCACTCTTTCTCCAGATTCTGGCCTCCCCTCACCTCTTCAGGATCAGCTCATGCCGCTCTCCTGGATGTTCCCATTCCGTAGTTGGCCTCTACCTGTTTCAGTCCCACAGGCCTGCCCTGCTCAAGGTCTCACTGACAGCAGGTGCCACTCCCGTGTCCTTTGCTTTGCCAAATCCATTCCTTCCCACCCCAGGTGATGGTCCTGGTGACCATCCAAGAGGGTGGGAAGGACCCTCTCATCCTGGGGTCTTATCTTTGGGAAGATTTGATTTATCCTTCAAGGCTGTCTGAAGTGGAGTTCCCCAAAGATGAGGATTTGATTGCAAGTAGTTGATTTGGGAGGGGAATCCAGGAAAGAGGAGAGAAGGCAGAGATACAGGGTATGAGATCAAGCTGGTTGCCACTGTGAACAACTGGACTGAATCCTCCTGGGACAGAGGAACAGGCCTCTCAGTCGTCCCACACAGAGCCAGAGGGAGCCAGGGTATGTGTGTGCCAGCCCCCATCAGTCATTGGTGGAGGGATGCTCCTGGAGGCCATTATTCCTTGGCACCTCCAGCCTGCCAAATGGCTGGGCAGAGAGGGCTCCTGCACCTGAGAAAGCCTCAGAAGGGTGGCACACGCTAGCAGCTGGAGGCTGGACGGGTGTGTGCTGACATGGTCAGGGTTAGAGGGTAGGGTGGTGAGCGCTCATTCTTTCTCAAACATACAGCTACTGGGTGTGACTGCTGGTGCTGCCACTTCCTAGCTATGTGGCCTTGGGCAGGTTACCTCCCCTCTGGGGGCCTCGATTTCCTCATCTGTGAAATGGGAATTACATCATCCCCTTCCATTCTCCCCAGAGCCTCATCTCCAGCAGAGTGCTACTTCCTCACGGCTTCCAGGGAAGGGATGGGAGCTGATTTGCAAGAAGCACTTCCAGGTGGCCCATGGGTCCCCCCAACCCCAACGAGCTGAGGTCACTGAGAGGGGCATCTGTGCAGCTGTCAAGCCTACAGGAAGATAGCGACCGCCTCCTCCTTCCCTCCCAGCCCCTCCCCGGGAGCTCAGAAAACAGGGTTTGGGAATTAACGTCGTAGACAAGGCAGATGTGGCATCCGTCCTTTGGACAGCACTGCCAGCCAGGTGATGGCTGAGCGGAGGAAGGCCCGGTTTATGAGGAGACAGGAAAAATTTACTGCCTGCTGCTCACAGGGGCTGGGAGTCCAGAGAGGGAGGGCAGCTGCATGG